ATAGGAGCAGAGAGCCTCTCTGCTCCTATGATGCTGCTTGGCCTGCTGTGTTCATCCAGCCCTGCACCTTGTTGTCTCGGATTCACCAGCATCTGCAGTTCCAACTATCTCTGGTCGTATCTTAAGTTAGTTAGAAATGAAAAAGGGACAAAAGAAAACGCTAGAGAAACTCAGCGGGTCTGGCAACCTATGTGGAGAGGGAAGAACAGAACAAATAGATATTTAGATGAAGTGGTGTTCTAAAGAAGAGTCATATTGGACTCAAAATTTTAACTCTGTTTTCCTGTCTCCTGTTTCTAGATATTGCCATACCTGCTGAGTTTCTCCAGCATTTTGTTTCTTCTTTAATTTCAGATTTCCAGCATCACTGCATTTCACTTTTATTCAAGTTAGCAAGAGTTTGTCTTATTCTTTTAAGAAAACACAGTTAAAAATTATAAACATTATCAAGAGGTAAAAAGTACCTAAATGGGAGTACCTAGGATGTAGCAAAAACAGAAGGCAGATAATAATCTATATGAATTGTGACAGAGGTACAACAAGATCTGGGTGCTCTTGTATACCAGTTGCTGAAACTAAGTATGTAAGTGCAGTCGGCATGAAGAAGGCAAATGGTATATTGGCCTTCATAGCAGGAGGATTTCAGTACAGGACCAAGGATGTCTTGGTGAGATCACACCTAGTGTAGTTTTGGTCTCCTGTCTGAGAAAGGATGACTATAGACAGAGAGCAACATTAATTTACCGGACTAATTCCTTGGGATAGAAGTCGTGATGTAAGAATAGAAACTAGATTGGTTCTAGTATTCACTGGAGTTTAGAAGAATGAGGGGGATCGCATTGAAACCTATAAATTGCTAATAGGACTAGACAGAGTAAACACAGTAAGGGTGTTCCCAATGACCAGAGTCCAGAACCAGGGGTCACAATCTAAGGATACAGACCAGACCATTTCTTCACCCAGAGATTGACGAACCTATGGAATTTTATGCTACTGAAAGCAGTTGAAGCCAAAACATTGTATGTTTTCATGAAGGTGATGGATAAGGTTCTTAGGGCTAAGGGGATCAAAAAGTATGGGAGAAAATGGGAATAGCGTACTGAGTTGAGTGATCAGTTGGATGAATGGTAGAGCAGGCTTGAAAAGCTGAATCGTCTACACTGCTTCTGTTTTCTATGCTTCTAAGCTCGGGGATGGAATTGGAAAAACTGCTCAAGTCCATAGGGGAAAGAAGGTACTTTCCAATCTTGGCCCTGAGTTCCCGTGTGGCTATAGTCAGTGTAAGCTGGTTATTCTTCTGGTGAAAGCTTTGTTTAAACTGCAATCAGACCTTTTCCTGTGCTATGACATTTCCAGTTCACTTTGTTTCTAAATGCTCTATCTCTGATGTATTTCAACTTGTAACAGACATAGGATTCAAGCTTGACAAAAACAAAACTTCTATATAACTATTCCATTCTACAGGCCTTCTTAAAGCTACTATCTCTTTAAGACAAGCTTATAAGGTTACTTCTCTCTGTAGGGTTTTGATCACGTCATAGCTGACTATCGGTACACAATGAAGACAATCCATGTTTATGAAGGAGTTTTTAACTTCCCATTTTTAAAGCTGTTAAGATGCCATTGAAGTAGAAGAAGTCCCTGTGTACACTTTCTGCATAATAGGTTTTTGTAAGGTTCCTTTTTGTCATTCGCTATTGTTGCAGATAAGTTGGTTGAGGTGCATTATCGGTTTCAACTATCTTAATACAATCTGCTCCTCAGCAATATTTAGGTATCCATCTTGTAAGTCCCTGTTGAGCTTGGTCAGCTCGTATGTCAGATGGCTTCAGCCACCATTTTGAAACAGTGTCCTGCCTCATTTAAAGGTGTTTCCTTTCTGCCAAAGTCCCAGATATTAAATTGGTAGAATTAGATGTTAATAATCCTTTTAATTACCACTGCATGACAATTTAGAATTACATACACGTTTTAAATCATTAAAATTCCCAAATATAATAACAATATAACATTCCTTGACTAAAATATTGTTCCAGACATTCTAATTGCAAATTACCTTACCTGTAGCTTTGTTCTAAGTAAGGTGCTTGCAATCAATTTAGAAGTGACAAAATCTGCTTAAAACATAAGAAGTAGCTGTAACAGTCCTTCAACCTTGCTATTCAAATAAAATCCTTGCTGATTTGCAATAGATAATCTCCATATCTCTTAATTACCTCAGTACTCTCAAAGCCTATTGATCTCTCCCTAGAATATACATAGCCACAGCATCCTGCGGTAAGTATTTCCAAACATTTGCAATTTTGTGTGAAGACATTTTTTGCCAACTCAGTCATAAATGGACCCTTAACCGGAGACTGTGGTCCCATAGCTCATTTGTGCGCCATTATGCCACAATTAGAATGTGTTAAAGTAACTCAGCCTTAACTTTAACACTTTGCTTGTAAAGAGTAGTGATATGATTAAAAATGTGATTGTGTTGTACATACAGCTAATTTGAAAACTTTGGAGAAGTGTAGATCCTATTGTTAACCATTACCTTACTGGGCAATTATTCAATACTGAAGCATAAATAAATTTCCAACCTGATGACTGGATTAAGGTATTTAAGAGTCTGATCTATGATTTACAGCAGTGTTCTGTGGACTACCAGTAGGCCACATGCATTCTTCTAATGATTTGAGTGCTGATGCAATTAATGCAAGTCACTGCTACCTAAGGCCATACATGAGAAAAAAGACAGAACCCTTGTACCTATAAGATATACAAGCAGACTGGGCTCAGTGTGAGCAGTACAAGTTGTGATCAGTGCAATAACCACAATATTGTTTTATAAGCAATAACTAAGATGCTTGCGAATTGCTGAAAAAAATGCTTTATGCCTTGCACTCATCAAGAATATCACTAAGAAGCAAAACAATATTTTTTATGATATTTGAGAAGAAAGTGCTGATTGTTTGGGTGAATGACTTCTGAATGGTAGAGGTATTACTACAGAAAATGTATCAGTTAGGTAATGACTGATCATTAACTGCCAAACTTGTTTAAATTTAAACCAGGCATTTTGAATCAAATTGCTGAAGGCATTGCTTTGAGGAATGAGCCAGAGAATGGTCGTCACCTGTTCTATTAAATAGAAACAGGTGCAATGTGTGTGCATGTTATTTCTATCTGCAAAGAATAGGACTATGTGTCCTAATAGTATTAGTTTCCATTATGTGCAGGTGCACCATTTTGTGAGCCTCACTGACAATCCTAAATTGGTTGACAGCATAATTCTTAATATATACAAGATTCATTTGCAAAAGTTAATTGTGGTGCAGGCTAACGAGTGATCTGGTAATAAACACTGCACTGCAACAGTCATGATGGAGCAAGTGGTGGAATATATCCCCAGACAAGAAGGCTTCGTTAAAGGGAAGGATGTCATCACCTGTCATCCAGGTTTCTGTTAAGGCAACTGTTGACAATAAATTTGTGGATGGCAAGTGCCTTGAGGATAGTTGGCAGATGTTCCAGAAGGAGATGCAGAGGAAGGCAATGCAAGCTGATCCATGGATATAATCAACAGTGGATGGGGTGAATTAAATAGCAGGCTAATTAGTAGGTTTACCCCCCCCCCCCCACAGCAGGCACAAGTTGGTTGACAAAAGGTGAGACCATTGGGGTTGTAACTTTTAATGAACATGTCAAAGAATGCCAGAAGAAATACTGAGGAATGTTGTAGGGTGACTAGGTTAGGGAGTTATGAAGGCTAAGTACCTGAGAGGGGAGCGTGGAGGTGGGAGAGGAGGCATGATGATAGAAAAGAGCACATAAGTGAAAATAAATGTGAAAAGAGTGATTGGCTCAAGTCTAGAGCAGCAGTCAAAATGTGGATGTGATTTGGTTTAGAATGCTAAGGTTATGTAGACCTAGAAACTAATAGTCAATTAGAAATAAGAAGTAGATGGAAGATAATAAATATAGAGTAAATATCGGTAATTTTGTGATGGGATATTAATGACATAAGTAGGATGAAGTCAATGTGGAAAATTTGAGAAGCTGGTGTTAAATTTTGAAAGCAAGTGTAGTAGGTGTAATAGGTAAAGCATATATAAAGGCAGGGTTTTATGTGGGCTAAGGTGTTTTGAATGTTAGGATATCTATATAATGATTTATTTGATGAATGTACTCACTAAATTATCACAAAATAATGTAATAATGCATTGTTGATTGGTTTTGTGACCTGATTGGAGTTAGCTGTTTTCAGCTAGGAGAGCACTCGAAATGCTGCAGCTGGCCTCAGTTTAATTTAACCAGGCAGGAATATCATATATAAATGCATAAACTTTATTGCTATTATACTATGTCTGCAAAGTGCATGTGTTTACACAATACAGTGCCTGGTCAGGTTCACGTGAAGAATTGCCTCTCTCACAAGACATCAACAGTCTGCCACTGCTGGTAGAAACAGATCTCAGTGTGAACTCATGCCTTAATTATGAAAACTTTTTTTTTCTTTCAATTTAAGGATTCCACTCCAATCGTTTGCTAGCATTTTGTAGTTGATAACATCATTGGTTAAAATTTGAATTGCATTTTCTAATCCAATTCAAAACAATTTTTGAAAAAGCTCAAATCATATCATGATTTGATGTAATTGTTTGGAAATTGATTGCTATTACAAACAAAATAAATTGTGGTTTATACTGAAACTAATAATAAAACTAGAATAACGTGGTGATAGTACATACATCTATTTTTAAAATATACACACAGCTTCCTAAAAGTTATATTTCAAATGCAAAAATGGAATATTTCATTTAGGATGTAAAACTTACCAATAGAACTCGCGTTGATCTAAAAATCTGATCTGTGTTGAGGAAGAAAGACATTCATTTGGACAGATTTGAGATCAGGTGTCATTTGTAAAGAGAACAAGTGATTATAGATTTAAATCTCTTAAGAAAAATGTAAACAAAATACTCATCTGTTAATTGTACTTCAAATACCACAGTCAGTTTTGAGTTCTACAAAGTATTTAGGAAAAAAAAGTGTAACGTGAGATTACACCATTAGGCTTTTCCAGTGGGCCAAATGTTTCAACTGGCAGCTTACATCAAAGAGGTTTTCTGTTGTGTTCATTTTTCGACTCGCACCTTTTCGTGATTTTTAAGGCTCCCATTATACCTGCTCCCCACCAATTGAGTGTGTATTTACACAACATTTTCTTCTATCATTTTATAAAGTTATCTCTGATTTTCTATAAAATCAATCTACAATACACGACTACTATTAACAATTTTCTCTTGTCTCTGAATTCTAGAGGAACGGTGACCTGTGTAATATTATGTTTGGCATTTTGCTATTGCAGTTACCTTGGTCTTGTTGACACAATACATATTCTCTTACAGCATTCCAGAAGCGCTGTATACACTTTGTATGTGAGACAACAATTAATGTATCTTCCTTGATTCCAGTACACTGGTTTCTCACGAACTTCAGGACACACCCCAACATGGAGAATGAAAAGGATTCCAGGCCCTCACTGAGTGGCAGAGAGCAGCAGGAAAAGAAATCTGGTCAGTGGCCTCCCAATTTGCTGCCTCCTTGCCTGTTGTCTTGAAAGGAGGGGAATCTCCTCTAACAGAATTGTTTAGTAACCTAGTTCAACCTTTCCTGCCTGTGACTGCTGCTTTTTTTTGGGGCACAGACTTCTACTCTGTGAATGTATACTGTTAATGATTTGGAATAGCAGGTGCTTTTACTGGTACATTTCTTCAAATGATCTGCACTAATCATAAGGCTGTTCCTTTTTCTCTGCATATTAATTGACATAATAGATGCTTGAGCGATGTCTGCTTTATTTTGGAACACTGGTTTTCATTCTCCCCATCCTTCCTTTGCCAGGCCAGTATTTAATACTCACCCCTCGAGAAGGTGGTGGTGGTGAGCCATCGTTTTGAAGTGTAGTGTTTCAAAATTCTACTTACCTCTTTCTTAAAATACTTCAGTGATCTAGCCTCCCTGATGCTGAATAGAAATTTCCAGGCATTGGCTATCCTTTTAGAAGAAGAAATTTCTTTGTATCTTCGTTTTAAATGAGTGAACTTTCATTATTTTGAACTGGTGAAGTCTGTGATGTAGGTTCACACAGTGCTGTTATGGAGGGAGTTCCAGGATTTTGACACCGTGTTAGTAAAGAAATGACGATATAGGTCCAAGTCAGGATGACACAGGAAATGGAGTGTGCAGGTGATAGACTCCTGCATCTGCTGCCCGTGTCTTTCTGATAGTGTCAGTCATGGGTTTAGTAGGTACTTGGTGAGTTGCAGCAATTTTCCTTGGGTGCACATTGCTGCCACTGTGTGTCAGTTGCAGAACGATTGAATGTTTCATGTAGTAGATGGAAAGCAAAGCAAGCAGCTATTTGTCCTGGATGATGTCAAGTTTTTTTGACAGTTTTTGAAGCTGCAGAAGTCTAGGGAAATGGAGGTTATTCATTACACTTCTAACCATATCCTGTGGACATATTTAGAGTCAGGAGACCAGTTACTCAGTGCAGAATTCCTGGCATTTGGTATGTTCTTGTAGCCGTAGTATTAAGTGGTGATTCACTTTCATTTTTGATCAATTGTACTTGTCATTTTTCTGCTCAATCCTGAATATTATTCAGGACATGCTGCGCTTGAACCATTCTGCTTCAATTTTTGAGGAGTCCGGCATGGTGCTGAACAGTGTGCTATCATCAGCAAACATCCCCACTTCTGGCCTTATGATGGGGGGAAGGTCATTGATAAAATAACTAGATGTTTGTGTATCGGTCATTACCCTGAGGAACTCCTGCATTGATGATCTGGTAGTGATATGATTGACCTTCAACAACCATAACTACCCTTCCTTTATGCTATGTAAAACCTCAACAAGTGGACAATTATTGTTCTCTTGATTCCCATTTACTTAGTTTGCCTAGACTCCTTGATGTTGTTGTTTGTGTGTAGAGTCTGAAAGGTTTCATACTGAGGCGTACCTTAAGTATCACTCACTATGATGATGTCATATGGACTTGATGGTAAGACAGCTTAGAATCTCAGAGCAGCACAACCTAACGTCCAGCCCCTGCTCATAGCCTCCATAACAATATCTATCGTATTAATGTAACCTATAATTAGTTGCTAGTATGTGATAAACTACTTTCTGTTCAATACAATAGCCTCTTCTAGTTAGACCAGTAACTTCCCTCTACCATACTGGACCCATTCATCCCTGTACTTAAAGTGGATAATGTCAGCAAATCTACCACATGGTCAGGTGGAGACTGTGTGTGTTTACCTGCACATACAATAAACAAAAAATGTCAAGCTCTATCAACTTCTGTTTTGATGCTAAAGGCATTCCATCTTCCCTTTTGAGTCAGCTTTCTATCCATATTTGGACTAAAGCAAAAGTTGGGAGCTGAATGGCCTCAAGGGAACTCAAACTGAGCTTCAGTGAGCACGTTATTGCTGAAAAGCAATTATAATTCAGATTGTGGGTTCAGGGTCTGCTTCAGAGACTTGAATACATAATCTAATCTTCCATCTCACTGTAGTACTGAAAGACTTCCTTTTGTAAATGTACTAATGAGATGTAAAAATGAGGCCTGATCTGCCATCTTAGTTGAATGTAAAAGATCCCCATGCTACTATTTGAAAAAGAACAGGGCAGTTTTGCAACCAATAATGATGCCTCTACCAAGGTCTCAAACAGATTACCTCGCCATTATCTCATTGCTTGAAACTGACAAATTTGATTTCACGTTTCCTACAGTTCACATGTGCATCATGGATGGTAATGTTCGGAAGTTATGACCACCACTATATAAATGCAAGTTCTTTTCTTAACTATCTGCACTATAAGTTTGAAGGGATTGATGCAAAATTAAGTTGTATAGTTGCAGCAAGATGGGGAAAGAGACTAAATAGTGGCAGTGAGAATTGATTGGATTTTTGTAACCCAACCCGAAATGTCAACGTTCCTGTTCCTGTTCCTCTGATGCTGCCTGGCCCACTGTGCTTCTCCAGCTCCACACGGTGTTATCTCTGACTCCAGCATCGACAGTTCTTACTGTCTCAAACTTCTGTCACTTGCTTTAGTCTGACAACAAACAAAGTTCTTAAAAAATCAAGTTTCAACAGAAGAGTTCAGCATCCATGGTAATCTGTACATGAGTTCACTAATGATCTCTGCAGATTAGTGGAAAACTGTGACAATGGAGCTTTCAGATCTGCTCTGGAGAGAGAGAAACAGTCATTTATTTGGATTTTCAAAGAACTAATACTACTAGCACCCTTAATTGGCATGGAGAAATATTTGCTGTTTAGTTAAGGTTGACAAGGGGCAGCTGAAGCTGAGGTGCTACTCGTCATAGGCCTTCCAAATTAAGAGGACAAGCCGGCTGGGGTGGCAAGTAAGCAACAGAGTGCGTATCAACATGGAGCCATCCTCTAACCAGCTTCTTAACTTGCTAAATCAAAATGGCTCTTGCAACCAGACCACCTGAATCAGGGAGCCCCTCTTCATGGTGTTTTTATACCCAAGGAGGGTTTCATGCCTGCTTGGAGAACTGGTCTGCGCAGGCCTGCTGCAAGTTGCATGCTTCCAGACATGGAAACTAGCCCCTGTTGTTGTGGGAAACCAGTCAGTCTTGTTTAAGTAGTCTTAACAGACCTCTTAATGAGTCGAATTGGCTACTAGCCACTTGGTGGGAAGGAGGCCTAGTCATTTCAACTTCAAGCAGAGCTTCTCTGAAATGGCTAGCATTAGGAACGAGAAAATCAGCATGCTTCCAATGCCAATCCTCTTGAGCCACATTTGCATCTGTTCCTAATAGGGGTCCAAAAGTCCTGCTCTGAAACTATATCACTATCTTTGGGGGTGAATATGGAAACCATGTACATAATTATGATTGATTATTGATTTGCATGAGCATAGATATCAGTATGAAATGGTGAATTCAACAGCCTGTTTAGATTATGTAACTTTAGGACAATTAGTTTTTGAAAATGGAATGCTGAAGTCACAAATTTATACAAATAATAAATGCAAACTCACTTTACCTTTATCTCTGCTCGATGTAATTTTTTTTTCTGATGTAATCAGGTATAAGGAAGAATCTTACATGTTCAGAGATCTATTGACCTGCTGACTAACCATTGTTATATATTTTCAGCTTTTTGTATTTTGTGTATGGTGGTAGTGGAAAGGTAAGATTGCCAATTATATTAATTGTAAGAAGCTGTAAATGAAAACAGAAGTTAACTAGTGACTTCCTTTTCCTATATTTTCTGCTTGTTGAATCTTACATGATATAATAAGCAGTGATAAAGGTAAAGTGGGTTTGTATTGATTATTCTATATAAATTTTTATATATTGGTTAAATTTGTGACCTCTTCATTCCATTTCCAAAAACTAATTGTCCTATAGTCTATTTCATTAATTAACCATTAACAACACATGGTCACATAACCAGAGATTCAAAAAATGTGCTAATAGGTTATTTATAAAAGGTGCAAATAACCGAAGGTACAATTTCCATCACCGCATGGTTGTAGCAGTAGCACTCTTGCTGATGTGATGTCTGAGCTGTCAAGAATTAACCGAATTTTTCTTCCACACATTTACTACATTTTGAAGCCTGCTCTGCTTTTTTTAAAAAAAAAACTCCAGAAGAATGCAATATAATGATTTAAATTATTTTGCTGATATTTCTGCTTAAAGGACAAAGCCACATATATTTAACTGTGCGGTTTGTGTCCATGAAACTGATTTCTTTTCCGTGGCTTGATTCTGCTGTGTGGAATGCTTGAAAACAGTTTATGTTCCTCACATTACCTTTAATAAAGAAGATCAGAAAGTATACTAATTTCTACAAATCATTATAAAGAATATTTTTGATAAATGTGTATTAACTTGACAGCAAACATTTAAGACAGACACCAAAAACAGAAGTCTTTGTTCCACATTTACAGCATCTGCAGTTCTTTTGGTTTTTATAAAGACAGACATCGTGATCTCAACCCACATACTGCATCTCCCTGAAAGAAAATGTGCTAAAACTGGCAAATGAGACATAATGACCCCCTCATTGTGGGTACTTCAAAATGGAGATCCAGTACAGCCAATATGCCTATTCCTATGTTTTACTTGTTTTACCTCTGGTTTATTATTCCTGCAACCCTTGGTTTGTGTGGTGACTTTTAATTAATAAGTCAGAGATCTTTTATAAGTGCACTACCCACCTGGTATCTCAAACCAATGGAAGAAATCGGAGAAAAATAACTGAGGCAATGTGCTGGTCAACAGAAGATCATCTCAACAGCAGTACCTGGGAACAAAGCTTATTGAACTTTTTATTTTGTTTCTTTTTTGTCCTTAACCTGTTTTACTCTTCTCTTTGTGTATGTCAGGGGCAGTTTATAAAATGATTAGAGTTTTAAATTAACAGTATTGTATGTTTGCTGTTTACCTGTAGCCAGAGTTTAACTACTCGTAATAAATGCTTGTTCAGTACAGAAACCCTGGTTGATGCTTTCTGTTAACCTGGATCTAAAGTTCATGTAAATTGGTGAGCTTGACATACTGTTTTAAAAGTTAACAGATAAAGCAGAGCAAATTTATGTTTTGCTGTCAAAGGAGGTTTTTTGGAATGATAATATAGTGTAGAAAACTACATTGGCTGCATATGACTTGGTCCCTGAGGCATATAGCCAAAGTTTCTGGAATTTAAACAAGCAGTCTTGGCAAATCTACATTGAATTTGTGAGGCTAAATCAAGGTATTTTTGACATTAGAAGTGCATTAGAAGGTGAAACCATGTATGAAGCTCTTAACAGCAGTTATTCTCTTTAGAACAACTTTTAAAAACTCCCTACAGTCCATAATAAGAAATAATTTTGAGGACTGAAGAGTTGCAATTGCTAAATGGGCAGCAATGCCAATACTTATGAGCTAATGCACGAAACAGCTCTTGGACATCTCCTCCTATCTCGCCTCCAGACCACAACACTACCACTGGACGTCAGGCTGTAATGTCCATATTTGTCATTAACCTTCTCTCATCTGGGGATTTTCGCCCCTATCGTTTCCCAGCTCAAAGTCCCCCCACCCCTAAACAGCCCACTTCTTTCTTCCAAAATCCACAAACAGGACAGCCCAGATAGATGCAATATTTCTGTCAGTTTCTACCCGACAGAACTTATTTCTTCCAACCTTCACTGGATATTTCCCCCTTGTCTAATCCTTTCCCACTCTCATCTGTAATTCATCTGATGGTTTATGTTGGTTTCAAAATTTCCAGTTTGCGGGTACCAGCCACCTGCTCTTCAATGTCAATGTGAAATCTTTCTGCACATCCAACCCTCCATCAGAATGGTCTTAGTGCCCTCCGTTTCTTCCTCAAAAGAAGGTCTGGAAAGTCCCCATCCACCACCAATTCATCCAACTGGCTGAGCTCATTCTCACTTTGAATTACTACTTGTTTAACTCCTCTCGCTTTCTTCATGTAAAATGTATGGCTGTGGGTATCTGAATGAACTCTAGTAATGCCTGTCTGTTTGTGGAACATGTGGAAAATTGCTTGTTGAAGAGCTACTCAGGTCCCTGCCTACAACTCTTTCACTGGTACATTGATGGTATCATTGGTGCTGCTTCCCTCTCTCATCTGGATTTCAAAAAATGTTCAAGTTTGCTTCCAATTTCCATCCTTCCCTCACTTGTACCTGGTAGACCTCAAACATATCCCTTTCTTTAGATAGGAATAGATAGCTGGAAAAGCTCCAAGGTCTCCCCTTCAGGCTAAGAAGGAAAGTAATAGGGTGGAGGTGCGAATTGGAAGCCAAAGTGTTTTCATTTTAACAAGCTAGGATATATCTTGTTCAGAATGCTGAAAATTTAGAAGGAAACTCGTAAGTTTTTTTTTTTTTTTTTTTTTTTTTTTTTTTTTTTTTTTTTTGCATTTCATAAGAATGAGTCCAAAAAGGAAACTCGGAAGGAAATGGCCACAGATCAGATGGGCAAAACAAAAATGAAAGTCACCAGTCCCAGAGATTTTTAAGAGATCATTAGAGAGAGATGACTGGTTGTCAGCTTAACCTGAGCATCAACTACCCTCAGGTGTGGAGCAAACTTGGGAGGGAGGCTTTCATGGCAAATTCAGTTGGTCTGGAAATTAAACTCATGCTGTTGGCATCAATGTTCAACACAAACCAGCTGTCCAGCCAACTGAGCTTATCAACAGACAAAAAAAATGCTTACTGACCAAATGTTTGAAAAACAAAGAATATAATGTTTTGCATTCTCATAGTTAATTAGGTTGCTTCTTAATGAAATCAAATTGTTCACATACATAGACTGATGGAAAATTTCCAAACAAAACTTCGATTCAGATAGAAATCAAACTGTTTTTGGATCGTGGTCATAATTCAGGTTCTCCAGGTTTACAGTGAAAGGATGACAAAATTGTAAGTGCAGAAATGCTGTAAAATTTCCTGTTCTGTGGAAGGATGTGCACAATTTTGTAAATGGACTTGAAAAAATTTGTTTGCATCATTTAACCTGACATTCAACTGCTAACTGTCAGATGTTCTTACCTGATGAGCTGACATTTATGTCAGGCCACCAAACATAGAACTAGACTTGAGTCACGTAGTACAGAAAGATTCAGTAGATGTTTATTACAGCATTTGGTACCTGCACATATATTACAATCATGCTGTACTCCATCTGGACTAGTGCAGAGCAATATAGTTACAAACTGTTGCAAGCTTCCTTAGTGTGATGTTGCACTAATATGGAGAAGAGACCTTTTATACTGTCAGATCATATGCCATAATACAGTGATGGTATTATAGGCGTGTTTTTAAAGGAATATTGTGCACTAGTTGTGAGACATAACGCAATAAGGGTGGAGGAGGGGGGTTGGTGGGAATACCTAAGAATACATCTCTCTCCCTTTTATGGAGAAAGTTGCCAAGCTGGCAGAAGAATAGAGCGAATGTGCCTGTGCCCATGGAGAGAATGTATATTATAGTACCTAGTGAGAAAAACGTCCAAGCCAATCTCAGCAATGATAAATGTCTCAATAAAACCTTAAGTCCGAGTGATAGCTTGCAACACTAACAAATTTTTTTGGTTTTCTATGCAACAAATAGAGGTCATTCTTAAGCCAGGACTGAAAGAATAAAAGCCCCAGGCCAATCTCTATTAATCTCGGCATATTTCTCCGGGATAACCATTGAGTTTCGAACGGTAATCTATCTAAAGTAGGCTTGGGATCAAATTATTGTGAGCACAGCACTGACACAGATCCACATTTAGAGAAGGAAGAAATGGCCAAGGTGTCCAACAATTGGATGACTGCTGGGGAACAGGCCTCTGCTGAGACCAGAAGAGATGAGCGTCTGGATCCAGCCATTAATGAGCTAAAGGAGATGCTTCAGCAAACAGGTGAAAGTCAGGTAGCGGAATCAGAGATCATGCATAAACTGGAATGAAGGACATAGGTGTCTGCCCAAGTTTTGTCCGATGTGATACTTATGGCATGCAAGCACATAGCTGTCTTCACGGACCGTTTGGTGGCTGCCTTGGAGAGCCAGGTTCAGCAGAACAATCATTATCAGGTGGATATGTGTGGGGACCTTCACTCCATCGGTCAAGATAAAGATGTCTTCATTCACAGGCTAGGCGAGAGAGAGAGTCAAAGGACATTACCTTGCTGAGAGACAAAACAACTGCAGATGCTGGAATCCAAGGTAGACAAACAGGAGGCTGGAAGAACACAGCAAGCTAGGCAGCATCTGGAAGAAAGGAAAAGTCAATGTTTTAGTGTATTACCCTTCTTCAGTACGGGATGGTTTTCCTTCCTGTTGTGCACCGATAAGAAGAGAAAAGACACATCAGGACATTTCCCACATGTCTTGCTGCATCACCTTCCCCATTGCCAGGGATCCAAATGCCTATATCAGATCAGGCATTAGAGATTACGTCTGCATCTGTGTAGGAGCCCCCAGTAAGCCAGAGTCCTCTAGGCCTTGGACCACCAGAAGATGCCTTTGAAAATCATCTGAGGTAAGGTGGCAAAGCAGACAGGAGGCCTTAAATGTGGCTGGCTAAGTAGCTCAAAGATGGAACAGTAGCAAAAGAAAGTAAAATTAAAGAACATTTGAAGTTACTTTGGGTGCAAAGTTGTCAACCCACTGGACAACGTGGCACTTCACACAAAGACAGCATCTTATTCAACAGTCCTGTGGTCTCTTTCATTTTGTTCAATCTTCTGATGATTTATTTTTCCTTGTAGCCTACCTGAGGGATCACTCTGTAGGTGCTCACGTGCAGCAGTGCAAAGAATATTAAGATTGTCATTCACTGCTGCCTTTTATGGAGAAACATAACCTCTGGAAAGCAAGAATTCAAGCTACATGGTTGGGTTTCAGAAGTCAATTAGCATTGTTTGTTTAACCCCTCCAAATCTGTTATAGATGAACGCCCCTTGTAATCAAAGATTTCAGTCAGATGAGCAAGCCCATTCACAATCTTCACACAGATGATCTGGCCAGAAAACTGAACTGGAGGTTATTGTTACAAAGGTAACTAATTAACAGTTTATGTCAAACAAAACAGCTGAATGTTTTAATGTTCAAAAACAAACCCATTCTCTTAGAACAAGAATACCACTGCACCATAAATGGCTTATAGTTTTGAACACTCTCAAATGTTAATACAAACTGATTCAGTCTCAAATCTACCTACCATCACTTTCTCCCATACCTGTCTGCCATATCTCATTACTTCCTAGGCTTCCTCAGCATCCTCCTCATCGTGTTGTCTCCATCAGCATCTCTGTTAGACTCCCCTTTTTCCTCATCTGAGGAAATAGGTGGCTCATTTATTGCCCCCTTTTCTAATTTTATTGTTTGCTGTGCCCTGCACAGCAGAATTCAATCATTATTTTGAAAACCATGTCTGGTGAGTGCTGGATGTTCCTCTGAAGCAGTCCAGGCAACAAAAGCACATTTTCAGAAGACAAATTGTTGATTATAGTGATGGTCCTAAAACAAAGTTGCTGGAAAAGCTCAGCAGGTCTGGCAGCATCTGTGAAGGAGAAAACAGAGTTAACATTTCTGAGGAAGGGTCACCGGACCCGAAACGTTAACTCTGCTTTCTCCTTCACAGATGCTGCCAGACCTGCTGAGATTTTCCAGCAACTTTGTTTTTGTTCCTGATTTACAGCATCCGCAGTTCTTTCAGTTTTTACAGTGATGGACCTAGTTGATGCATGAGCACCAATGTAGTGCTGTTTGGGTTCAGTCTTGATCAGATCAAAATGGTGTCATTAAACATGCCTTGTAGGGTTAACTTTGTCACTCGTGAGTCAGCCACGGAGATGATGTTGGGAGATAAATAATCATGGAACCTTTTATGTTGATTTGACATCATGATAGCTGGATAGCAGGCGTTCAACTACGGGAAT